CACCACCATCACCATCACCACCATCACCACTATCATCACCACCATCACCATCACCACCACCACCACTATCATCACCACCATCACCATCACCACCACCACCACTATCACCACCACCAAAGACACTACACCCAGTACTCACTGAGGAGGGTGCTCTTGAACTAGGAATTCCACCCATACAAATTAGCTCATTTTGAGAAATTTAAAAAACACAAAGTCCTCAATTTCTCAAAATGAAAATATTACAGAATTATATGGTAATCCTGGAAAACAAAGTAAAAAGACAAACTTGGAAGAAAATATTTACTAGTATGACCCAAACTGGAAAAACTTATAAGCATTTAAGACTATAAGTCAGCAAGAAAAGCAAAAGAAAACAAAACTTTATGATGATAGAAAAACCAGCAGTAGACATGAGCGGGCCAGTCTGAAAAGGCTCCACACTGTATGGTTCCAATATCTGACATTCTGGAAAAGGGAAAAAATATACAGACAGTAAAAAGATCAGTGGCTGTCAGGGGCCGGGGAGGGAAGAACAGGCGGCACCAGGGACTTCAGGATCCAGCCGAAGCTATTCTGTATGGCACAGTAATAGTGGATACACATCATTGCATATTTGTACAAACCTAAGCCATACAGTGAACCCTAATGTAAACTACAGACTTCAGATGCTAATGTATCACTATCAATCCTTCAATTGTAGCAAAGTACCACACTAAGTAACATGGTAACAATAAGGGACCTGAGAGGGAGGGGCATATGAGAACTCCACTGTCTGTCAACTTTGCTGTAAACCTAAAACTGCTCAAAAAATAGTCTAGGGGAAAAAAGCTTCTAAATATGTAAAGATACAAACCTCACTCATGATTAAGAAAAATCCCAAGCCTACCCACACACTGTTGGGGCCTAGGATCAGCCAGAACAGCCCACATCATATTCCTCATCTGACCTCTCACTAGAAACCCGAGTCCTCTTGGCTCACTGCCTCACCCACCCCCACCCCGCCCCTGCATTTCATGCCATTCACGAGTAGTTTCTACATCTTTTTATCAGATGACTCACTTTCCCAATAAAATGGTTCCAACACTCAGGTTAGCACTGGTGGCCCTTCACTTAATGTCACATTTACCTGCATTTACACCTTTCACTGCCCCTCAGCAGAAGGCCCACCTCTCATGCTCCTTAGCACAAGGCCCTCGTGCTGAGGAAGCAACAACTCTTCCTGGCACTTCTGGAGGCACCTAGGGTCTGCCTCATGCGGTTCTCTGAGCACCTCACCAACCTCTGCAGCAACTCAGGTCCCAGTCATTTCATGGCCTTCACAAACTGCCTCATCCAACCTACACCGCTCCCTCTGCTGACACACACTCCGACAGGACAGTGACAACAAGGCTGTGCTCACCTTCACTGCAGAGCTTCCCATGTACTGACCGGGGAATCCGTGATCTCCCACAACTACTCCTGTGAATTACCTCCCCCAAGGAGAACAGAAGTTCCTTGAGGGAAAGAACTGCCTCTTAAAATCATACCCAAGGAAAGATCTGTCACAGAAACCAACACAGGAGACTGCAGATGGGCGAGGTGGGAGTGGTCACAGCTAGGACTGGTGAACCTCCACGGGTCTGTGTGCTAGATAACAGGGCCCTTTACCAGGTCAGGTTTGGGGAGGGGCAAGGACAGAACCAAGACTGCAGGCTGCCAGAGAAAACATGAATGAGAAATAAGGAATCTCTGCCAGACATGTCATTGCTGGGTCTGCTGTGCAACGCAACAGACTATCGGAGAGAAATCTGGGGAGACTTGACAGGTGAGGGCTGTAAATCCAGCTGGTCCTCATTTGATCCCTGGATCAAGCAGTAAAAACAAATGTACCCATGGGACAACAATGTTTTTGTCACCAACAAAGTTACATGCACGTAGTGCTCCCTGGTCAGTATGCCCTTGGCTTACAGGAGGCTCAGGGCACCAATGTCCATGGCTTAGGGCTGGTCATTTAGAAGGCTAGTCACAATTACAGTGAGACTGTCAACGAAATTGTTAAAACCTATGAGAAAAAAGTCTTTCTGCTGGTCAATGCTGTCTACACATATGAACACAAAAGAAATGCCTGGTGCTGAGCCGCTTCTGTTTTGTCTGAGCATATCTTTGATCTGGTCTACTTTCCCATTTTAAAGTGTGAACTCTTCGCCTCCTAAGGTGTATTATAAAACAAACTAGGTAATAAATACGTAGCCAGGAAAACTCACCAGAGACTGATTCATTTTCTGCTGCTCTTGGAAAAATGTGGAAGACTGTGAAAGCGGAGGCAGACCTGGGAAAGGAAAACACAGGCAGCAAAGTTGGGAACGATCTAGCCTGCCAAGGAAGTACGTCCCCTGCATAAAAACTCACCCAGAAATTCCATCAAAGACACCTCTACGAGACTGTCCCTTTAAACCTTCAGAAGTGACTGCAAGAATGATAAGGAAGGAGCCCCATCCGCCTGTTACATGTCTGTAACTCCCAGATGATTATGTGGTGACTGAGGGGATACATTTCTTATTAGTGAATGAACATCAGAGGCTACTGAAGCAATCCTCCATAATTTGCATAAGATAAGTAAATTCTGCTCAGCCGGCAGGGGCGTGGCTCAGTGGTTGAGCATCGACCTAGGATCCAGGAGATCACGGTTAGATTCCTGGTCAGGGCACATGCCCGGTTGTGGGTTGGATCTCCGCGGGGGCGGGCAGGAGGCAGCCGATCAATGACTCTCTCATTGATGTTTCTATCTCCCCCCTCCCTTCCTCTCTCTGAAATCAATCAAGATATATATATTTTATAAATAAGTAAATTTTGTTACAGTTAACTACGTTCTTATTAACTCTTAACAACCTAAGATCAGAAAGTAGAGGGACAGGGCTAAGTCTTTATCTGCACAAAGTGAGTTTGCTGTTCAAAGGCTCTCTCGTTAAGAAACTGAGTTAACGGTAATGCAGCGGGCACCACACTTGGCCTGGGAGCCTGAGCCCGGTCAGCAACCCCACCTACAGGCCCGGACACCTCGGACAAGTCACCCCCCTTCTCAAGCCAAGCCTGCGACCCCGCTAGTCCCCCAGGTCAACGCTCCCCGCGGCGCACTCTCGAGGCC